TGTACTATATCAAATTAAGGCTAATAAAAACCAACTGGCATTGTTGCCAAAGTTCAAAAAAAAAAAAAAAAAAAAAACTTTATTTTTAATTGTAATTCATACAAGTATCAATCAGATTTTTTATTCAATAAAATTTTAAATATTTTATATTATTCAAATTTAATAAATGTAATCTTAAAGTATTGAAAACTTTTTAATATATTTATATTTTAAAAATTCAACTTACACAAGACATGCTAATACATAGATGTCTAACAATTACCCAAACTGTTAAATATTTTTCAACAATTGTTCAATAAATATGTTTTGACAATATCATTTAACAAAAATAAAAATAATGATAAGTACAAGTAACTATTATTATATCAATCATTATTAAAATTACATTGTATTATTTAGCAAAGATATTATTATTACATAATTACTTATTATGATTAGTTTCAAACATCACATATATCAAGCACTAAAAATTTATTAACTTAACAAATAAATACAACCAAAAATTTAGACTAATAAAATAATATCAATAAGCAATAAATTTATCATTTTATTTATTTTGAATAACTAAATAAATGTAATATTTATTACAGTTAGAATTATAGTTTTTCTAAGTATTTGGAATATTCTATTGCCTTTAAAATGATTATAACCAGTGTTGTCAATTTTTTGTTCTATTGATAAAATTATATTCTATTCTAATTTCTATTGCTCTATTCTATTGTTCTATTGTTCTATTTATTTATTGCTATATTAATATCTAATTATAATCTTGTTGGTAATTTTTTGTTCTATTGACAAAACTTTTTATTGCTCAATTCGATTGTTCTATTCATCTATTGCTGCCAACACTGATTATAACCTCCAATTTATGCAATAGCACAAAATTTTTACTAATACTATCAAGTCATTTGTTACTATTTAGGTCCATTATGTTTTCTTCAATAATTTTTTGTTGCGCTTCCTGGATTCAGAATTATAAAAACTTTTATCAAATAAATAATAAGAGTTATAATCTTCTGGAAGAGCATTAAAAATAAAATCTACAAGGTTTTCTGGTACAATTACATTTTCTTGATTAGTTTTTATAATTTTATTTTATTATTAGTGGAAATTTTGTTACGGCAATCAACATATATTTTTAGAATAATATGTTTATTGAATTATTAAATTTATGCTTTTAACGATCACTTTTTACTTTGAATAATCGAATACTAAATCAATTATGTTAATATTAAATTAAACTATCATCATGATCCTAATTGACAATAACATGATTTTCGAGACTTTTTTGGGTGGCGATTTTATTACCAAAATTTATGAGAACAATTGTAAATTATTAAAAATTTTAAACTCGGAGCAATGCCCGGGGCTAAATTGATATAAAAACGAGTCAATTTAAATTACGTGAATAGATAGAATTTATCGTTGCGGATAAAGCATAAATCAAATTTACATAGTAAAAATTTTCCAGCACAACCATTTTTTGTTAAAAAATCAAATCAAATCAATACATGGTCTGATAATTAGAATTACGTGATTTTGGTATCACTCAACTCGTCTCATTGAGGCAAAAAATACATTTTTGATACTCCTACACCTACTTTTTTGATACATCTAAACATACCCTAAAACTAACCAATAAGATCCCACGTTATTATGGTAAAAAAATATAGAAATTTTAGGGTATGTTTAGATGATCAAAAAAAAAAAAAGAACACTGAGACGAGTCAAAATCACGTGGTAATATCTGCTGGATAGCTTATAAAATTTTCATTGTAAACAGAGAATTTATCTAAAATAGCTTACAAATTAAAACATACGTACGTACTAATAATCAAGCTAAAAAAAATATGATTTATAGATAAAATAAAAATTTAGCCTTTTTAATTTTTTTATTTAATAAATTACTTATATATTAAGAAATAAGCGATAAACCCTATTATAAAAATAGATTAAAAACTTATCAATATAAATAATTTAAAAATAACAATTAAGTTACATGTAACATTAGACATACAATTTCATACAATTCGTACGACATATATTCTTCGTGACAAATTAAATTTCGGATTTTCGGATTAAGTTTACATATTTTGTTACCATAAAATTCCAAACACGGATTCTGGGCCTGAAATCAGGCCAGAACACAATATAGATACGTACGCAATCGGGTTTCGTATTATGCGTTTTATAATTATTTTATTTAAATCATAAATGAAACGAGTTTTTTCTTAATGACATTGGTCACGTGAATGTTTGACGGCTAAAATGATGGAATGATTAAAAAGCCATCTATATAAGTTGAGTGACAAATACGGTTATACAATTCAGATAAAATAACTCTGTCCTCAGTCCGACTTTTGCCTCTCTCTTTTTTGAAAAAAGCTAAGACAGAAGTTGGTTTATAACTCGCAAATTACACAACCATCAACGACAAATTAAAATATAATAAAAATGTAGGTCTTTAATTTTTATAAAGTGAATATATTAGAATTGAAACTATTTATATTCTTGACGGCAAAAAAAATTCACATTTAATAAAATATGAATAAATGAACATAAACATAAAAGTACATATATACTTAAGTTATAAAAGATGCTTAGAAGTTTAACTTTCGGTTTACCTTTACAAAGTTATACAAACAACATGGAAGAATTCAAACAATGAAGGACTAACAAAAATTTAATAATAACCTATAAATAGGTCGGCGGCGACAGGTGAATCTTATGATCCTTATGTACCCAAAGATGGCACCGCTGGCGGACCGCCAACTAAAACAGCACAGATTCAGAAGCAAATTGATGAAACAGTTGGCATTATGCGAGACAATATCAATCGTGTAGCCGAAAGGGGAGAGAGACTAGACGCTTTACAAGATAAGACGGGTTTGTATATCTGACATTGGGTCAATAAGACAGGTTCTTTAGTAGAACATTAATAAATAATAATAATAATTTTATTATTATTTCCTTGTAAATAGAAAATTTATCCGTGTCAGCACAAGGATTTCGTCGTGGTGCCAATCGAGTGCGCAAGCAAATGTGGTGGAAGGATATGAAAATGAGAATTATCATTGCACTTGTAGTAATCGCTTTGCTGCTGGCTATTATCTGTGAGTATTATTGTTCACAACGCTTATGGATAGTGTTTTCATATGATATATTCGGAACTTTTTATGCGCATTTTGAGACAAAAATAAAACTTCTAAATTAACCAATGTATTTTTTACTTTATAGTGCCACTTGTTCTCAACCATAAAGGTAATAACGATAATAACAAGTCACAGTAAATTTTCTCACATATGTTAATAATAATTATGGATTCATAAATAACCAGACTTAGTTCCTTTGTCTTAATAACTTTAAAGATTTCTTGCATTATTATTATTATTATTTTATATATAATATATTTTATAACATTTTTGTAACTTTATTTCAAAATAATGTGAGAAAATACATGTATTTCTGGATTATAACTAAAGTTCTTTATCGTGAATTTCGTGAATTTATGACCCTTGTACAACAAGCAACTCCTTTCATTATAATATTTTGCGTTAATACATCTGAAATAGGAACATCATATCTATTTTCGAATTTTATTTAGAGATCTACGTTACACTAGATTATTATCATCTGCATCGGTATTAAAAGATTTTGATATATTGATATTGAATCTTCAAACATTAATATGCCTTTAATAAATGTTGTAAGAGCTTCCGTTAGATTGATCGCAAATAAGCCTTTTGTGAGTGCGAGAATCTTTCCAAAGAAATTTTTTAATGTCTCAGCAACAATTAAATCTGATAAATTATTCGTTGTATGTTAAAAAAATTTGAATGCTTATCACTTTTTAAGCAATTTTTTAATAACCGGTTTATACTTCTAATAAAGCATCGAGATACACCCGAAAATAATCCGTCAATCCCGTTTGAATTTACAGCAGACAATTTAAAACGTGCACAAGAGATCATAAAGCGGTATCCACCACAATATAAAAAAGCAGCAACTATACCCTTATTAGATCTTGGTCAACGTCAACTTGGATGGACGAGTCTTTCGGTTATGAACGCTGTTGCCAAGTTATTGGAAATACCACCTATGCGTGTATATGAAGTTGCGACCTTTTACACCATGTTTAATAGGTATTTTTATTGTAAAGCAAATTTTTTGGGAATTGGTCCAATTAATCATTATTATATTTTATTTTAGAGAACCAGTTGGGAAATATTTCCTTCAACTTTGTACAACAACACCATGTCAATTATGTGGATCAACAGAAATCCTAAAAACAATTGAAAACCATTTGAAAATAAAAGTCGGTGAAACCACTCCAGATAAACTTTTTACGCTTGTAGAAGTAGAATGTGCAGGAGCTTGTGTTAACGCTCCAGTTTTGGCAGTTAATGATGATTATTATGTGAGTTATATATTTTACATATTTTATGTAGTCTTAAATTTATATCTAATGAATATTAATAATAATTGTATAAAAATTTTCAGGAGGATTTAACACCAGAAACTACAATCAAACTTCTTGATGCTTTTAAATCTGGTAAACCTCCCAAGCCTGGTCCGACAACCGGTCGTCATACGTGCGAGCCAAAAAATGGGTATACCACCTTGACAAACGAACCTACGGGTCCAGGTTTTGGAGTTAGGGACGATTTATGAAATTGTAAATTTCATAAGTTGTAAAAATCACAAGGTCATATTTAACAATAATGTGCATATTGAGAATTGTATATACCACATAATATATATATATATTAGATTATCTATAGGTATTCTATTAGATCTTTTTGATAATTAATTCATAAATAAAATCTTTATTAGGGATCTTATCATGCTTCAAGAACGATAGCTGATTTTGAGCATGAAACAACTCTAATATTATCTATATTTGATTATGCATTGTTTTATTTATACTATGCTAACATGTTTCCACTATCTGAGCCCCATCATCGACAACATCTAATACTTTTACAACCGTCTCAATATTTCTCTCAGCAAACATGTCTATTACAGTTTTTGAGATACTATCAAAGTTGTGCGTTGCGAGTGCTAATATTGTAGGTCCAGCCCCACTCAGGCATATTCCTAAAAGACCTGGGTGTGTGGTTGGTGTCACATTAGTGATTATTTCGGAAAGACCAGGAATCTAAAAATGCAAATTATTAGCGTTCATGAGAATTTTTTTAATTTTTATATATTATTAATAGGTTTCCTACCAGCTGTTTACGATATGGTTGATGAACTTTATCTTGCATAGCTTGACATATTAAATCCGCATCCGGTGGTGATTGAGATAGTGCCATTATTAAAACTGCTAACCTTTGTAAATTAAAAACCTTATAGTTTGATCAATTAAGTGAGAAAGTGTTAATGTTAAATTCGATTCAATTTTATTGTCCAAGTGTAGTTGTACCTTTGTATAAAAACAAAAAAAAAAAAAAATTTACCACATCGTGTTTATTATATTTGCTCGGTAATATATCTCTGGCTTTGGCGGTGGAAACTTCAAATTGTGGAATAATAGTAATTGCTTTAATTTCTTTAACCCAATTTAATTTAATATAATGTCCTATTCTTTCAGGTACAATTTGTGCCGAAAAGTTATTTATCGTATCATTCTTTTCATCTAATTCTTCCGAACGTGGAGTCCCTGTATCATCTGTATTTAACTCCCTTAAATACGAGGCTACAAATCCACCCATTAAAGCAGCTGTAACATTATCTGGATGACGTTCTATCATCAAGCAATAATCAAGCATGCGCTCCTTAGTTAACCCTAAATTTCCGGAGGCATTGCCTAACATAATACCAGCCACAACTGCTGCACCTGAAGAGCCTAGACCACGACCCATCGGAATTGGATTACAAATACTAATGTTCATTGGAGCAGTAAAGCCAGGAATATTGTTACATGCGAGAACATAAAGTGCTGATTTCGTGATTAGGTTTTTTTCGACGGAAAGGGGCACTCCATCTTTACCTTCGCCGGAATACGTTAAAATTACCTCATCATTATAATTTTTTTTATCAGAGGTTCGTTCGAATATACTAATGTCAAGTGTAAGATAAAGTGACAATGTTACTCCAAGCGCATCAAATCCAGGTCCAACGTTCGCAGAAGAACAAGGAACGGTTATCCGTAATTTTCTCGAATATGTCATTAAAAAAAGTGATGAGATAGATGTTAAAACGTAATATATTGATTGATATATTCAACATTATAATTGGTTACCCAAAATAGCTAATGTGATCATACGTTTTTTATATCTAATCTATATCTAAAATTACTCTTATTTATTTGTACTTGTACTATTTCACTTGTTTCATTCGCTAAGTCAGAAGCAAAGAATGGGTGAGGTATTACGGTATTTTACTTAAACATTCAAAACGTCCTAATCGTTGTTTCTTTCTTTTTTTTCTTCTAACATTGCCTAAATATTACATGTTACTATGCAAGGAATTACAATCATATTTTGACAAACTGCTTTTAAGGCATGTTTTACTTATTAAACTTTTTTTTCTTTCTTTTTTTCTTTTTTAACTACATAGCCTGTTAAAGCTTATCTTGCTTGTATAATAGGATAGATGGTTTGAAGGCGATCACAATAACCGATCAGGATGGTGTTATATTAATACAATGTAATTCTAAATTCATATAGCATATTCTGTGCTTATTCTATGATTCCATTCTTGACAACTAATCTCTCGACCTTCATTGCTTGATTAGCTGTATTAGATGATGTGTCACCAGGAATGCTTGAGCCTGCAATATCGACAACCTTTGCGGCAATTAGTGAACAAGTATATTTCCCATATATTATTAATTATTGATGTCAGAATAATTGGTCTAATCATTGCAAATTTCTAAAACTTGCGATAAAAACAAGGCATCCAAATTGGGTTTAAAAAAAAATAAATCAATTGTCAGCTTGCATGAACTTTATCAAATTGTACAATTTAATCATTCACCCTTGATAACTACATTAATTGCTGATGCCAATGCAAATACTGGTGAGGCCGTTTTATTCTTTTTAAATAGTGGAATGATTCTTTCATGTTCACAGGTTGAAATTTTTTTAACATAAATTCTATAATGAAGGTGTATTATTAGATCTTGAAACCGAATTAAAGGATGTGATAGATACAATTGCAGTAGCTCTATCTGAAAGACATTAGAGATGATGATCGATCAGGGAATGATCGATCATTTGATTTGAGTATGGTCTGTTGATAAGTGATCAATTATTAAATATTTATGCGTGACACCATTCATAACTCGTATTATATTCGCCACAATACCGCATTTTTCAAAGTCCGAATCTCAATAATTTCCATTGTTTTATTAATTATTTTACGTTATTCATGCGACCCAAATTTAAATACAAATAAAATGAGTATCATTAATAGTTTCAAGAATTTCAGATTTAAGGGTAGAGGGTACGTAGAGCATTTTTATATAGTTTTATATGATATTTTGAAATTTTCATATAAATTTGAAATATACTACTTATAAATTTTTTTTAAATTACAATCAATTTTTATTAAAATTTTACAAAATATAAATAAAATAATTTATTTATTATGGTAAAATTTTGAACTATTATTATATTTAAAAAATATATACTTATATATGTTACAAAGTTTTTTTAGAATGGTTTAAAGTTTTCTAGATATCATAAGAGTACTAAATTTAATTGGTTAATTTATGTAATTTTATAAGTAATTTTATTAATAAATTTTATATCTTATTTTTAAAAAATTTTTTTTTTTGATACGTATTAAACTAGCTTCTTTTGAGATTAGGGTTTTATTTAGTAATTAGGATATAGGAACTTACAGCTAAGGTCTCAAAGGAGTCATTTTATATTAGAGAGTACAACTAGTCACATGTACACTTTTGGTATCTAATTTAAGTAGTCTGCCAATGGTTCTACACTAACTACTACACTTGCAACTTAATTAGAAGTATTGCTTATTTAAACTCTCTATATTGCAATTCTTATTGTGTTACTAGATCATTTTTGGTACATATGTTAGTTAAAAAGGTTTAGATATTTTTACCTATATCCTTAGAATCTTATACTTTGTTTTATGCAGTGTATTTTTAGAAACATTGTTACTAGAATCTTCTGTGTTCCACACACAATTGACCTAGTTTTATATAACATATCATAATTACTTAATATTTGCAGTTATAGAAGTTACCTGTTTAACTACTATGTTATACTATTTCTATCTTTGTAAAATTTATCCAAACCTTGATACCTATTTTTCTTTTTATCTTTCTACTATTTAATTTAAAATCTGACAGATTTTACAAATTTTCAATCCAAATGGTCTAGTATAATATACCTTTGGTTCTTTTTTCTTTGGTAATCCTGACAGTCTGGTTGGTTATATGTTCCTCTATACATTTTTCTAGATTTCTATCAGTTCAACAATTCTGTTAAAGATTTGTGCTACTTCTTTATTCATGAATTTCTAAGTAGAGTTCTATTTTCTTAGTTTATTAGTTTTTTGTATTCAGTAGCCTTATTATGAGTTGTACTAAAGTCTTATATAACATTGGTTATTAACATTTCTCTATGTATATACAATATTATACTTCATATAGATGTACTGAGTTCTCAAGAATAAGTAGAATATGATTGGTTATATTCAAGATTAATTTTAAAAAAATTATATCTTATTGAGTTTTTAATTAAATTTAATAATTTTATTATTATTAAAATCAGAAAAACAGAGGGTGTGGTGACCTAGTGAAGTGGTTAGGTTGTTAACCTCCCAAGTGGTAGGTTGGATGTTCAAATCCTATCGATGGCAAAAATTTGGATAATCACCTATGTAATATTTGTATTACAGCAACTGTTACTAACAATTGGATTAGGAT